AGTCAGGAAAGCTAAAGCCTACAGATACCAAAATAGTGTTTCCCTGCACATCATAAACAGGAAAGTAACTGTGGGCACCATATGGGAATGGAGAACTTAACATGAGATGTGTTAATGTGTAAAACAAAGGTATCAGAAAACTCCCTCTAGCCTTCAGAAATGGAAAGGCCTCCCCTCACACATATCCCCTATGAAAGATCTCTTTCAGACTTAAAAACACGTCAGAAGTGGAAAATTTGTTTTCAACTTCTTTGCACACTTCTCTGATTTTTCTTTTTATAAATTGTTATTACTCGTGACAGATTACTAAACTAAAATAGCTGATTTTATTTTCCCTTTCCTCTGAAGTGACAAGAAATGTCTGTGTTAAACAACAATCTACGCATGGCACCTTATTTAAGAGTTTGACTTTGACTTAAAAATCCCGGAGAAGATTTTTCTAAAGGTTCTGCAATATTCAAGACATTCACTGTATTACTGAGTGGATCTCTCTAATTACATTTTCATGATGTAGACAATGACTCCACCTCGTGGCAACCAGAACATGTGCAACCTTCACACACCTGCTGCCCTCCCAAACTAACCTACTTGTGCAGTAGCTCCTGCACTGCCACAGTTTTTGGCCTTGTCTATCTCAGTCTATCAAATGCCAGCAACTGATAAAATACTGAGTTTACCAGGCTAGGCTGGACATCACAGTGGGCCCAGCAACTGCTGTCTAAGTAAAACAGAAGTCCCTGTCACAAAGACAATGCTGGTAGTACTTTCAGCTGTTCAGTGTTAATCTATTAGAATTGATTTATATACAGTTGCATATCACAGAAAAATCTAAAAAAACATCTTTACAAATATGGAGCAACTGCAGTAATCAAGTGGAAAAAAAAAAAGAAAAAAAAGAAATCCCAGACTTACCCAAAACCCCAGCCATCAATTGCACTGGCAAACACCACATTTCCATGTTCTGGTGAAAAATACAGATGTGAATCATCAGTGTCTTCCAATCCAGTACTCCAGTCATAAATTTGATCTCCTGGTGCAGTGTCTGAAACATTTTCACTTTCTGTTTCTTTCTCAGCTCTTTCTTCTAACACTTTGGAGGTAAAGAGTGCTCCAGTGACTGCATTGATCTACAGAAGGATATGTAAAAACATCTTCAGATTCACTCACTCTCTCACAACCCTTGCAACTCAAACGCAACCCTCCAAAACATAAAAAGAGAGGTTTTGTTAACAAGATAGCATTGCCTATGATTCATCTGGCAATTGAAAACACAGACATTGTGTATCTAATTCTGCACATTTGAAGACAACAGAAGTTTATGAGACTAACACCATATGAGACATAAACACCACGTAGTTTTCAAGTCAAAGTCCACCACACCAGGACTGAATCAGACAAAGAGGATCATGTGTAACACACTTGGCCTCTCAGAACAAGGAATGGTGAAACAGAAACTTGTTACTGGCAACAAACAAACAACAGAGGGCAAAGGGAAGCCAGGCAGGAAAGTGCTTAAAAGTAAACTCTGGGGAAAAAAAAAGTTTGAGGGCAACTTAACTTAAAACTCAAAAGACGAATCAACTTTATTCCTACATAAACCCATCCATATCAGGAGCAGTCCAAAGAGATAACTCGTCTACCTCCAAAGAAACTTAAGCAATTTAACAGGAAAAACAAAACATTCAGCATATTATTTCTAAAAAAGAAGACTCTTCCTGATGACCTGTCAAGAGGCATTTAACACTCTTTTCTCTGTCACAGGCTTTCTGAGCAAACCTCAAAACCTATTAGAAATAAGATGTATCCCAATGTTTAAAATTAGACTAAATGTTACAGTGCAATAAAATCTGCTGCGTGAACATGGCACTATGGCCTGAATACCTGTTCTAAGATATTCTTAAGGTGCAAGTATGCCTCCTGAGGGGTGAGCTTCAGCTCCACAATCAAGCGATCGATTTTGTTAATCACCAACACTGGGCGTATATTTTCCAGCCATGCTTGTCGCAGGACTGCTTGAGTCTAAGAAGGAAAGAGTTTTAAAACATATCCATTACAGAAAGCTTGACACCACAAAAAAAGACAGAATATTAAAAAATAAAATACAATCCTAAAACTGAATAAACATGTAGTAAAGGACAGGTTGACACTCAACCAGAAATCTGACTCCCATGGTGTATAGTGTTAGTTATTGAAGAATCCTGTAGCATGGCAGAATTTCATGGCAAAAACACCCACAATAACAAAAAAACCCCCTATTTAGAAAAGCATGCTTTTTTTTTTTCATGGCTATCTCGGTTTTATTTTGCGTATTTTTTTCACTTTCAAAACCCTAGAAGTCCACGTAAATATATGAAATTACTTCTTTAAAGAATTCTCCATAAAAATATTCCATTACCTGAAAAATTGCATACTCACTGTTTCAACCCTGCATCATTACACCCACTCACCAGTATTGTTCAGCTTTTCTGCATAACTACTTTCATACCTCAAGTGCACTGTCATTTATTAAAAACTTTACAGAACTCCTTAAACAGCTCATCTTTCATTTCTATATAACAAACTTCAGACTTCACTTATTCTGTCTTCTCTGTTTAATACACTTTATTTCACCTGTGGACAGACTCCTTCAACAGCATCCACCACTATGATGCAACCATCACAGAGTCGGACAGCAGTAGATACTTCTGAAGAAAAATCCACGTGCCCTGGGGAGTCTATTAAATTAATGAGGTACTCCTGATCACCTAGGATCAAACAATAAATTAACATTTCAGAACAGTTTTCAAAAAATATTTCTTTCAGCCACCTAGTTATACTGCTTCAGCTATTATCTGTAACTGTCATGACATTAACTACAAAAAACCCTCTACAGCACAGTGTAACAGGCATCTTGACATAGTAGTAAAGACTGTACTAGAACTTGTTTTTTTCAAAGAAGTTCTTGCCTTTGCCATTAATTCAAGATTTAAGATTAAAATTTAAGTATTTAGATCTAAAATAAAAAGATAAAGGCAACTATTTTTATAGCCTCCACTCAGAGATAGGATTGAAGATGATTTTCCTAACACTGAGATGATACTCAATTATCTTGGTTGCCTGTTGAATGCATGATTAAGTCTCTGCAGAATCCACAAATTCCTAAATGGCTTAAACACAAAAAGCCCACAAAAGAGAAAAATACAAAAGTAAAAGCTGCACGCAAAAAGTTCACAACAGTAACAACAAGGAGACAGGAAAAACTAACAGAAGTATGTATTACAAATCACATTTGCCAGCACAAAAACTTACCTTTCACAAAGTGCAGTGAAATTGCACTAGATTTCATTGTTATTCCTCGGATCTGCTCATCTTCTCTACTGTCTAGATATCTCAGCTGAGTACAAAACCAAAAGAACAGGTGATGAGTCTGTAGAATTATCTCCACAATTTCTTATCAACTGTCAAAGACTACGAGCGCAAGAAAACAAGGTTTAGCAAGACTAGAATTGGAATTTTCTTAACCATCGCAGATTTACAATCCCAGCATGCATACACCAGAATTTCATTAAAAAAGACAGTATAACTCTACCTTTCCTGCCAAGCGGCTGGAGATTATTCCATTGCTAGATATAAGACAATCAGCTAGAGTAGTTTTGCCTGAAAAGAAAAACAAATTACTTAGATTAAATGAATACAAACAACAACAAAAGATGCAACAATATTATGAACGCCGACAACACGCAGTGTTCAAAAACATCAGCACTAATAAAGGCTTTTAAGTACCACAAAAGTATAAATTAACTTTCAAAAAACCAAATCCGATTATTCAGCTTCACCTGTTAGGTACACATGAATTTCTTTTTGAAGACTGGATGCAAACTTACCTGTCATGACTGGAAAAGCAGTTGAAATAACAAACAGTACATCAAAACCTCAGCATAGCAGGCAATTAGAAAAAATATTTGTGTTATAAAATAAGTGTTTATTATTATTTCCACCTACATAACAAACTTGTTGTAGTAAGTAAACATAGAAAAAAACCAGCCTACCTTACAAGCATATATTTCTTGCTGACATTCACCATCACACAAGTAGAAAACGTTCCGTTTCAACTATTCCAAACTATTACAGTATAATGCTCTCTTAAGTTCTTAAAGATAAGCCGTACCAGGCCAAGAAAAAGGTGCATAAAGCAAATTTACATCCCTGAATCGGGTTTAAGACAGTTTAAAACTAAACCCATGAAAACCTACTGCTTTGAACCAGTGACCAAAACATCTCACCACCGTTCCAACACACACAACTTTCCTCTGGGGGTCTCTGCCAGCCACAAACACCTGCCTTACCATGATCCACGTGGGCTAATATACAGATATTCCTGATGCCGGACGTCTTCTTCTGGAGGCCAACCATCTTTTCCACGCTGGTGAGCACCATGGTCGGCTACTTCTGTGAGCGGAGGAGAGTATTTTATTTAGGAGTCAGCTTGAGAAAACGCTTTGGATTTTTTTTAATTACATCAACTGTGATTAGCGCTGCTCATCGGGGAAACCCCGTGGAGCGCGTCACGTCCCCGGGCCACCACCTGCACCGCACCTCGGACACCTCAAACTCGGAGAGCACGGGCCTGTTCGGACTTTAACCCGGAGCGGGAGGCTGGGCTGGGTCAAGTTTGGTTGGGGACAAACACTGAGCCCGGACAGGCACAAACCTCACGGGTCACCCTCCGGCCGCGGTCTGCCCTCCCCCGCCGCCCCTTCCAGCGGGCACCGCCGCGCTGCCCCCGGGGCTTCCCCGGCCCCGCAACGCCCCGGGAGGGGGGCACAGACCGCCCTGGGGCGAGGGCTGCGCCGGGGCCGGGGCGGGGGAAGCGGGGAGTCAGCCCTGCTGCCCCCGAACCCTCCCGGAGCGGGGAACACTCACCTGCGCTCGCTCCGGCGCCGCTCCCGGAAACCCGTCCCGGCGCCGCTCCCGATCCCGCCCCGTGACGCCGGACGGAAGCCGGGCCGGGGCCGCTCCCCGCGGTGCCGCCGTTGCCACGGGACGCGGCGTCCTTGGTTACCGGCCGGGGCGGCCGCAGCGGGGATGGGGCCGCCGCGCTGCCTGTGTGAGATCTGCTCCTGCGGGTGAGTAGGTTCCGCTCCCAGCAGATTCGCGGACGGCACCACGATCTGCTGGGGGGCAGGAAGGCTCTGCGGAGGGACCTGGACGGGCTGGAGCGATGGGTCGAGACCGACGGCGTGATGTCCAACAAGGCCAAGTGCCGGGTCCTGTCCTTGGGTCACAACAACCCCATGGAGCGCTACAAGCTTGCGGCAGAGCGGCTGGAAAGGGGCCCAGCAGAAAAGGACCTGGAGGTGCTGTTTGACAGCGTCTGATCATGAGGCAGAGTTTGCCCAGGTGGTCAAGGAGGCCAATGGCTCCTGGCCTGTGTCAGGAATAGTGTGGCCAGCAGGACCAGGGACTCACACTGGTGAGGCCACACATCAAGTGCTGTGTCCAGTTCTGGGCCCCTCAATTCAGGAAGGACACTGAGGTGCTGGAAGGGAGTCCAGAGAAGGGCAATGAGGCTCGTGAAGGGTCTGGAGCACAAGTCCCATGAGGAGCAGCTGAGGAAGCTGGGGGTGTTTATCCTGGAGAAAGGGAGGCTCAAGGTGACCTTATCGCTCTGTACAACTCCCTGAAAGAGATTATAGCCAGGTAGGGACATTCTCTTCTCCCAGGCAACAAGTGACAGGATAAAAGGACACAGCCCTAAGCTGTGCCAGGGGAGGTTTAGGTTGGACATTAGGAGGAATTTCTTCACAGAAGGGATGACTAGACATTGGAATGAACTGCCTAGGGAGGCAGTGGAGTCACTGTCTCCAGAGGTCTTTAAGGAAAGACTGAATGTGGCACTTGGTGCCACAGTCTAGTTTACATGGTGATGTTTGGTCACAGGTTGGACTTGATGATCTCAGAGGTCTTTTCCAACCTGGCTAATTCTGTGAGCAGTGCCCCAGGCCACCAGGGAGTGGGGAGGGTGATGAGGCCTCAGTGCCCCAGCAGGGTGGGGGTCCTCTCCCAGGAGGTGGCAGTGGGGCCACTCAGCACTCCGGTCCCACCCTTGGCACTCCGGGCCACTGTGAAGTGAAACACCACTATTTCTTCACATTCAATGGTCCCACATAGAGAGAAACAGTTCATCATTGTCCTATAGCCCCTTTGGCCCAGGGAGGCTGGCACAAGAGAGTACAGTAGACATCAAAGTCACCCTTGATCTCACCTCCCCTCACACACCCTGGGTTACATGGGGGTCCCTTGCCTGGTCACAGCTAATATTTTTAGCGGTGGGAAGGTGGAAAATGAGTAACAGCCCCATTTCAACAGTTTCAGGCTTCCCTCTTTTCCAGAAAGGGATCTTCTCAGTAAATATGAAGCAGTATGTTTACATTTAAATAGGTAGGGGTAAAAGAAGATCTTAAATGCACTAAAATGGAACACAATGGAGAGAGTCTTTGAAAGCCACCCAAACTAAATGTCAGGATCAGGCTTTTCCATAAAGCCAGCTCCCATGGAAGGACTGCACAAAAGGAACCCTTGGATGAGTTCTCACAGCCTTGTAAGAAACCTGTGCAAGCACTGCAGCCTTTAAGGGAGGTTTATTAGATCTGCCTTTCTGCCTCACACCCAGTAGCACTCACCACTGTGAAGTGAAACACCACTATTTCTTCACATTCAATGGTCCCACATAGAGAGAAACAGTTCATCATTGTCCTATAGCCCCTTTGGCCCAGGGAGGCTGGCACAAGAGAGTACAGTAGACATTTTTTGTTTAAAATGACTATTTCAGGTCTATAAGCAATATTATTTATGCCATAGGGAAAAAAATTCACAAGTCAGGTTTCTCAAAATAATAAGGGACTTAAACCTCACAAAATTCAGCTATATGTTTATAGGTATCAGTCACAGCTGTTAATATTTTCAATTTCTTCTCCTAATTTCTTCTTAAAAAAAGGCCAAACAACCAACCAAAACCAGAAAAATAATCATCATAGGATTCAAAGATTCAGTCTTCAGTATTAAAAAAAGATCTAAGAACTACATACAAGAAGAATCATAGTAAGATCCCAAGAGAGGGCTCAATTTTTTTTTTTTTGGAGTACTGGGCCAACCCTATGGCTGCAAAGGGTACCATGAACTACAGGTTTCATATCAAGGTCTGCAGCAGACACACTCCTTATATGTTTCTGTGGGGGAAGTCTGTCTATCTGTTCATGAGCCACCTTTTTTCTAATCTGTAGACAGAGATCAGAGGCAGGCAGTGAGAAAAGCTCCTCACATTATTTTTGGCTGAGACTCTGGCGAATTTTGCCCCATAAAATTGTTTCAAAAGCCCTAGATTAATGAAGAGTTGGAAAGCATTGTTTTCATGATGAGATAACAAATCTGGCTTAGGCTCAAGTATAAAGATGGTGAGATAACACAATGAGAGAGCACAAAATAAGGTTCAACTCAACTGAAAATTCTCAATCCAAAAACCTAGTTTAATAATACAAATAATTGAATTAAACATGCAGAAAGCTTGTGGTTTAAAACAAACATCACTGAAGTTTTTACAGTCAATAGAATCTTAAGCCATTATTAGTTTAGGCAGCACATTGTGTTTGCTTCAGTGTATAGTGTTTCTGTTTTTAGGGGAAGGCTGGTCACTTGGCAGTGTTACCTGGATATTGGAATGCATGAACATCCTAGAAGAGATTTCAAAGCAAATATAAAGATCTAATGTTTTGTACAAGTTATCATGTAGCTATTTGCAGAAAATTTTGTGGACATAAAATTACTGCTTAATTCTAAATAATAAAATAACAGGAAAAAATCTTTCCTAGCTTTTCCCAGAAGAAAAAAAAAACCACTAAAAAAACTTATAAATACAGGGAGAAAAGCCAGTACAACAGAACTTTATTCTGCCTTCTCTAATACAGGATGTAAAATCTGGTTTCCAAAGAAGAAAAAAGCCTCTGTGGGAGATGACCTCTCTGCACTCAAGAATAGTATTTGTCTGCTATAAAAGATACATAAGATGTATACAAAGATGCATACAAAAGCATAAAAGATACATGAAAGGTGCTTACAAAAGCATAAAAGTTTAGTTTTGTGGTACAAAAATAAACTACTGCTTTATCTTCTCAATCTGCCAGCTACCCCTCACTTACTGCACTTTTGTTATCATTATCATAAAGATCTAGATTCTGGAATAAATGTAAGTTAGAAGGAAAGAGGAAGATCTCTCTAAAATATCTCTAAAATAAGCCATCATACTGACCACATGGAAATAACACAAACCCCCAATAAAACAGACCAGATCTCCTGTCAACATTAGGAAAGTAGATGACTCCCAAAAATAGTGTCCATCCATCATTTCTGTCTTTCAGACCACAGCATGTGTACTGGCAGTTAAAAAATAAAAGTTTTGAGTTGGGGGGGGGGCTTTAATAATTTTTTTATTATGATAAACATTAAACTTTTCTCATTATTAGTCTAGTTCTCTGGGAGGAAAAGGATTTGTGGGAAAATTTCAAGGGTCTATCTAGCATTGCATAAAAACAAACATATGTATGCCAGGCCCTAAATAAGTGAAATGCACCAACATTCTATTAAAATAACCAGAACAACAGCATTTGGCACTAGAGAGCTCATACACTGTCACTTCTAGTTAGCTGAGATTCTATTCAGACCTTATGTAAGCCACAAGTTAGTTGGTCTCCCTCAAAGAAGAGAAAGAATAATAATCCATCAAAGCAGGCACCAGTCAGTCATGGGAAAAAGCACATTCTCACCAAATTAGTTTGAATTATCAGTAACTCTGGGGTTGAAATTAAGATAAATACAAGGAACAACAAGTTAAAAATAATCAGTGTTTCAAGGAGTTCTGGCCAAACATATTTCATTTATCAGAGCTGCAATCTGTTTTCTCTGAGGATTTGTAGCATTGTGATGGCCTATATAAAGTTATTATCTAAATGAAAACTTTCGCTTTAGCTGCTGGACAACACCCTGAAGTAGATTTATCGGTTCACCAAAAATACCCTGATCTCTTCTCCAAGTCAAATTCACATTGATATTAAGGTAATTTTACATTGCTGTTTAGGCCCACTGAAAGTACTTTCACAACACAGAGTAGGATGGAGGATCTTCCTGAACAGTCTCATCTGATTCAAAGTAATTCTGTACATAGAGTCTGCTCAGAATTATTTCATATACTAGAAATGACTGGGATGAAGGACATTTTTAGATCAGCAATGAATTCTAATAAAATCGCAAAAATCTCTTTTCTTGGAGAGAAAGAGTAGATAACTTCCACCTCTGGGTTAAATCTGCCAAGAACTACAGGCTCACTCTGCAAGTAATTATTTTTCTGGTGTCTGTTTCTGTTTGTAGCATGTCCATTCAGCAGTACTGACACCCCTGCTTCGCAAATATTCAGAGTTAAGTCCTTAAAGACTGGTGACACCAGAGCAGAGGAGGCTTTTTTGTTTGATGATTGGTCTGGATCAGCATGTGGCAAACTGAAGATTGTCACAGTGAAGTTTTTGCAGATGAATAGTGTTTGTTTCAAACTCCTTTGAATTTTATGCCAAAAAAATACACGAAGAACATTATAATTTGATAACCTATATTTCAACTAGCTTTCAAAGCATCCAATGTTTTTTGTTTCTGCATAGCTGTTACTTTTAGAAGCTCTGTGACACAGCATATGCTGTTTGTACTTTCTGAAAAAAACATTACAAAGGTGAAAACTGAGTTTCATGACAAATGCAATGACAAGCAAACACTGTGCTGAGAAATAGCACACACTTACCTCCTTGTTTTCCTACCTTTCCTGTTCTTGCCCTCTTTTTCCTTTTTCCTTTTCCTTCTATGTTCTGAAAAGGTCTCTCAATTGTTACTTGACTTGATTGAAAAGGAGTAAGGACCTTGGGCTTTGAAAGGATCTGGATTCTTAGACAGGGCTACTTCATTTCTCATTTTTGAACTACTGAGCTGGCAAATTCAGGCAGCACAAACTAATCCCCGCTTTAGGATCTCCAGTCTCAGATAACTTCTTGTACTGGTTTTTCCATTTTCATTTTTCCATTTTCCCAACAGGAGTCCTTCGTGTCTGTTTCTGTATTCCATTTTATCTTGCTTTAATTTATTGTTTTTCTTTTTGGTAGTGAGTGCTAGCTAAATTTCCCCACATACCTTTGAACTATTCCTTGGATATCTACCTTCCTGAGACTTGAATTTATTTGTACTCAGTCAGAGCTGTACACTTTTACCCTTCTGGGTTTTTAGATATTTTTGCTTTTCACGTACAGAATTTTACAATACTTTTTATTTGAAAAATTATTTACTGTTTTTTCCCTTTGCTATTATCTGAACCAGTATTGCAAGTTGTCAGCCAGAAGGAGGAAGATCTTTTGTTACGTATTTCCTTGAGGGAGAGCTCAAACAACAATCACTTCAGCCAGAGAGATGGGTTTTATGCAAATTAGAATGAATATAACAAGATTTTCAAAACAATAATAACATGTAAATTTTAATTTTATGAGTCATTTATGCAAAACAACAAGGTGTAAGTAAAGAATTGTCATGGTATACTTTTGAGCACAACAGTGTCATTGATTTAGGCATCAATGACAAGCAGGTGTAATTGAAATAAAACCTATTAAGAAAGAGATGTTTACTTCTAAATAAACATGGATTTGGGATAGAATTCAGTCAGTCTTTGGAGAAAAAAAGGGTTAAAAGTCAGAAATGGTCTGCAGAACACCAGAGATTCCACACCACTAAAATTTTAGTCAGAAAGTATTAACGATAGTGGTGAAAATAGGTGAGATGTACAGAAATAAAAAGACAAGTGATAAGGGAATACAGTAAAAAAGAGGCAGTATGAGACAAGAAATGTAGTTAGCGATCTTTACAAGTAAAACTAATAATATCAATGAAGATTAAAGAAAAGAGAGGAAAGCCATCCTGGTGGTAGCATCGTTGAGAGGACTGAGTTCAACTCTATCCATCCCTTGTACTTTGTACCAAGGACTAACTCACATCTGATACTGTTTTTATTGATGTATTAGTGTACTGTGCTCTGGGACCCGGGCCATCAGCCATCAACATTTTGCGGTTTTCTCACTCAGAACTAAGATTTTAAACCAAACCTACTGACACTGTTCGATCTCCCCCATTTGTTACTCACTCCCAGTAGATGGTGTGTGGGTTTTCCCCTGCAATGAAACCATTCCCAGTGATCTCCCCCGCTGTGTTTTGCCCAGGCGCCATCGCTGCTGCCATAAGCGCACGAAGATTTACGACGATGGGCTGCCACCGAGCCACAGAACCGAGTATGTGGACAACTACCCCGGCTATGGCAACATCTGCCCGCCCAGCAGCTGTAAGCCGAAACCTGAGTTCCAACAGCACCGCGGCAAAATGGACGGAATCTCCATATTTAAGTAAATATTTTGAAGCAACGCGTTTTACCGCTGCTCTGTGAAGTTTTTCATTCTTTCTTTTTTTAAGGGGGCGAACTAAACATCGCACTGCTGTCTTCTCAAAATGCAACCGTTGCATCCTTTACGCTTTTTGCATATTTAAGGTGTAGATTTTGAGTACAGAAATACGGCTGCCACGGAAAGGTTGTAAAAAATAGCAAAGCACGCGTACAGAAAGATTTGTGTTATTTACAGCATCCTTTAGCCTGTAAAGGTAATGTAAAATTTTTGTCTTCATTTTCAGCCTCTTTAGGAAATCGTGGAGCCTGAAAAGCTGGCAAGCTGGGGAACTTTCTGTAA